TCCTAATAGAAGTAAAAGTTCAAGTCGGTCGTCAACGCCGCCTCCATCATTCACGGAATGCCAGCAACGGCCCGTCGGAGAACACGAGGAAGGATCAGAAATGTTCGAAGAGCCAGTGGAAGAAATAGTGAGTACTCTGCCATATGCCCATATAATATGTAAATTACGTTATCGCGTGGCTATTTTGACATTTTGCGTATGTAATGTAACATTAACCTAATTGGATTGATGACAGTCTGTTATATAGCGAATACGCCTCTCAGTTATGTCATTGTACCCGAGGGAATAAAATGATATGTAATTAGTTAGTGAATATCATTTTCATAAAGGGCTTCGTAAATATAGTCAGACTAGACTAGTGCTGTAATTCGCATTAGGTTTTATGTATGTATAGGGCATTGTTCAGTATTCCTTGAGTCTTGTAACAATAATTTTTAAAATGATTATTTGTGAATATAATTAAATACAAAATCGTAATGGGGTTGCTTAAAAAACTCATGTGGCCAAGCAAAAGTCAAACTTTTAATTCTGTTCCGTCCCCGTCTGTGTGTTCATCTAGTCGAAAACGAAGTAGAAGGGACTCTGTGTCATCGTCTAGTAGAAGGCATAGGCGCAATAAGGTCAGTTTTGTTTTATTTGATATTCATTACTGGTGTGTAATTCTAAGTACCTAATTAATTTTTTTTTATACAATTTTAACAATTTTTTTGTGAGACTAATATGTTCACTTATTAAAAAATAAGATGCAATAAAAAAAATAGAGTTAGCCATAGATGACGCACTAAAAATGTATGAAACAATTATGTTATGTTTAATATTTAAGTTGTGTTGTGTACAATATAACAGATACTAATAAAATCAGTGATTTGGTTTCAAAACCTTTAGAATATAATTTAGTTAATTAATATATTAATTTGTATTTTATAATTGGTCAAAAATAATTTCAATTTAAAAATGAATGTCTTCCAAATCTTAGCAATCCCTTCTCAAACAATATTCATACTATTAGCTATATGTTAATATGTATATGCATTATGCATATCTACTTAATACATTTTTCTTTCTATTAAAAAGTTGAATTATAAATTAAACAATTATTTGAAGAATTAAGCCTCCTGAGAATTTATCCCATCGAACCACTATGATACTATCGTTATCTTACAGTACCTACCAGACTTATGCTTTAATTATTATTAATGAATTAACTTATTGGACAACTGATTTTATATGTATTCAGTGATCCAGAAAACTTGAATATTGGTATCCATTAGTAATTAGGATATGACGTATTGTATTTATACATTAGTGTAATAGCGTAATAATCCTACAAAATTGTTTATAAAATGTAAGGTAAAATAAACAATTTATATTTTATGTATAAAATAAACTTTTATATTTGAATCATTTCACGTGTTATATAAGTTATATTACTGTAACATAAATTTACTACTTTTATAAAAAGAGAAATAAAACTAATTATTGAACTAAATTTCGATGTAACATTGACGGTGAGTATTAAATTTCTAAGGTTAAAACCTAAAATCGGAGTGATGTTAAGTATTGATATAAAAGATATAAAAAATATATTTTTTTAGAACTATTTTTTATTACTTCTCTTATATTACAAAATTAAAACACTTACGCCTGATTATTTTCGTGTACGCATTACTATATACATTGATGCAGTATATATTGCATATTTCTGAGCGTTTATTCTGATTGTATTAAAATAATTTATTTCGATTACAAAATGAATCTAAAATATTATATTATTATCAATCGCAGAACAGTATTCTTATAATAAAATTTTACACGAATGGAATCGATCAGTGGTGATTTTGAATCGAAAATATTGGTTATATTAAATTGTTCACCCTCAAAACATATACAGATGCTTGCTATTTGTGTCAGAATTAAAAAGTTTTTAATAGTTTAAACTATTTATTGTGATTTTGATTGATAATTAATTATTTTTGTTTATTTTTTTTTTATATATAAGACCATTATCACTAAAACTGATACATATCAATACCTATTAAAAATTTTAATTAAATTCGTTGTTACGTTTATATTTTGTGAAAATTTCAGTTATTTTACTGTAATTAAAATTGTTACGTACATAGTAGATGTTGTAACATAAATATCACTATTAATCTTACAAATAATTTTAGAATAATTATAGTTTATCTACTTTCTGATTATTATTTAGTTAACGATGATAGGTTTGAAAGTGTTTTAAATAAATGTATCGATTATTCTAGAGTATTAGACAATAGACTTGACGCTATTGATTTGTCTTCTAAAATTCCATTAAACAGTGTAATATGTTTTGTTGTCACTTGTAAATCATATGTTTTTAATTTGTCGTTCAAAATAATTTCTTGGTAGCCGTTAAAAATTTAAATATGCAGAACCATCAGAACAACAGTTTTAACGTTTAAGTTGTTGTTTGTATTTTGTGTATATTTAAAAAAGTGGCGAGTAACCGGTTTATATATACTGCTTTAAAAGCGGTTTAAAATGTATAATCCATTGCCAATGCTGCCAGCCGCTCACTCGCAATGTTTTCGTTGATATTAAAATAGAATTTACGTAATTTTTTTATTTTTATTCTGCTTAAAAAATAATAAATTATTGTGTACAATGCCCATTTATATTCCAGATCATAAACAATTCGAGTACTTTATGTTTAAGACTTTTATATTTTAATTAAACTTATAGGTATAATAATTTTAATACAACTCGTACATGATAACTGGTAATACTTTGTCCGTGAAATGAGTTGGTGAAAAAAATAATACAGATCTTAAATTGTTAAGAATTATAAATTGCGAAAAAAATATATACTATATAATGCTTTTGCTATTTTTTTTTTTTTTATTATAAACGTTTATGAACCCTAGTTGCCACTCCAGTCTCTCACAACGTCATCATATAGTATGACCCAGCGTGTGTGTTTCTTTTATCCAACACCCGTAAATAATGGCATAATCAAGTTGATTTTTCCAGTCGAAAAACGCCGTGTCCATAACGAGTGAAATCAATATTCGTATCGTGCGATATATATTTCAAACAAAAAAATTATAATGTTACATCAAAAAACGTTGGTTTTTTAATATATGTATGTATAAAATATTATTTGTTGTTTTATATAATATAAGCCCGAGGGTGATATTTGTTTATAGGTTTTTATACGCAGTACTTACTGGTAATATATACACGTAAACAACCTACGTTTATGAATTTCGTATTACATGACTACTCGTATTTTACAGTAGCCGAGTTGGGTTTATCGAATCATTCTAGAATGAACGTCATAGTCCGTTAAAATATTTATTAATATTCGACGCCTGGTAAAATTTACAACCGCGATCACCTGGGGCCTACGCGTTAACGTGTAAAATAAATTATTTACCTACATCGTAATTTTGCAAAGACAATGAGGTTAAAAACGAATTTCGTTCATCTTTCGTGTGACGAAGTATGCGTACATAAGTATATCATAATGTATAATCGAATTCATAAAAACTGAGATGCCATCTGTATATTTAAAAATAAGCGTTTGACATGTCATTTATACAGCGATATACGCTGATCCGGACTAAGACGTCTTACGTCCCGTTGCTGGGTATATTATGGCAAAGTATGTAGTTTTCCTTGGTATAAATCGTGTCTAAATGCGCGTTCGAAGAGTTATAGGTACATATATTATTACTTCTATAAATCCTGTGGTCAGTTACATAATAATTACGATTTCCAATCATAACTCAACATCTCTCGCGAGTTAGTCATTTGTGTCTTATTCTTATACCACAAACTCTTGATTAAATAAAACCAACTAGTTTATTATTTAAATATAATTTAGAATAAAAATAAGTGGATAGTTCTGCACATAGATTCTATTTCTATTGTCTCTATATCAAAGGTCGGTATAATCTCTAGTAATCATCCTAATCCGACCACCGTGGTTCGTGAATATGTATACATCATAATACTCATTGAGGAACGAACGAGTAGTTCGTTGTTTTTTGTATACACAGCATCTTTGTTGTATTTTTGTACGGTTTTCCGAAAGTTTTTTATTGGTGCCTACGGTAGGGGCGGACGGACGAAGATGTTACGATGTGTGTATACTACCGCTACTCGGAAGAAAAGTTATAGAAAAGAATACGACGACGACGAAGAAGAAGAAGAACAATGATAGCCAGAGGACCAGAGTCTGTGTAATAATAATATCGTATAGAAAACTGACGTAATATCCCCCCCCACCCCCGACGGACGGGTGCTCACATTATTATTGTTATTATTTCGTGATCGTCGTTAATGTTTGTTCGGACCGAGTGCGTAATGGACCGTCGTCGTCATTCGTCGTAGTAGTCGGACAAGTGCACCGCACAGGTACCTATAATAAATATAACATCGTCGCGGTGCACGCGTCGTCTCGGCCGGGAAGTGGTGCCGCGGCACCGCATTCCTCGTTCACCGAACGGCGTAGGGCGGAGCGAGCTACGGCGAAAGACCTTGAATGTTCACGCAGACAACCTTCACGGCGGAACCGGACCCTGTGGTACGTGCGTTGTCCGGCGAGAGCGCGCGCGCACCCGTCTAAACCCGGTGGTGGGGGGGTTAACGGCGGCGGCGCGCAGTCACTGACTCCGGCCGCATCCCTCCCCCGCCCGGCGGTCCGTACGCGTCCTCTCGGTCGCGCCACCGTCTTCCTTCCCGGTTGGAAATCTGACGATACGCACGTATACGTCGTATACTTACCTGCCGCTTTTTCCGTTTTTTTCGTCGCCATACCGTGTGTGTTACGTCAAAATAATATCATAGATAAAAGTCTATTCCCCCCTCCCGGGAAATAACCCATCGACATTTCCAATTTTATAGCCGTTTGGTCCGCGGCATTAAGAATATCGAAATTGGCGCTGCTCCCGAAAATTATGAAAAATAAAAAATCCTGTCTGCTGGAATGATGGTGGTGGTAGTTGAGGCATTTTCCCCGCAAACAAAACTCGATTTCCTGTTGCAGTGTGCATATTTTATTTTTTACGTGAATATATTACAATATTTCGTACATAATAATTAATGATATGGCCCAAAGCTGATTTCGTACAATACGATAATACAACATAATTTATAATATCATTATTCATTATTGTGTGGTACGCATTTACGAACGCGCGTGATACCATCGCACGCACGCGCAGTTCTATTCGTACTTAAACGCAGTCACCGACGTCGTAGCCTCCTCGTAAGTCGTAACCACTGTCGTGTGAGTGTGCGCGCTCCCGCCGTGAACGTGTGCGTGTGTATGCGTACCTGTTGCTGTGCGCGCCGCATTCCGTAACCGTTCAGCCACCGGATCGGACGTCGGCTGTCGCCGTCATCACCACCCTGCGATTAGAAAATTCAAAAAAAAAACCGACGAATACGTCGCCGGCGTGTTTTTGCATTAACGTTTCGTTGTTATCGTTTGTTTTTTTTTTTTTATTTCTGATTAAATCTCTCTGCCTCATCCTTCGGCGGTACACTTTTATTTGTACGACGAGTGCGTCCGTCTTAGTCATTTGTTCGTCCGCAATCGTGTAACCGTCATTTTCGTACCGGTTTCATATTTTTATACATAAAAACCGTTTCGTCTTTGTATCCAAAATTGAGCGTTTGTGTGCGTCCGGTGTGTTCCTCGACCCCCGAGGATGCTATAACGGGTCGGAGACGTCTTGTAGCGTGGATATGGACCACAGGGAATACGGGGAACGCGTGTCGCCGCCGTTGCCTCAACAACAGCAGCAACTACAGCAACAACCTCACCAGCAACATCAACAACAGCAACATCACCAACAGCAACACCAGCAGCAGCAGCAGCAACAACCGCTTCTGCCCCCCGCCAACCATACTGATCAGGTATATTATACTTCGTCCAGAGTTTTCTTCGTCGTAGTAATTTTCGTCTCGCTCGTATTTCCGGGAAGTACAGTAATGTGTATAGGTGTATTTTAAATGGCCTGGATGTTGTTTCAAAGACTGCCGTCCTTGGGTATCTTGACATGGTTACGGGATGCTGGATTCCAATGCTTTTCTATTGCCATAAAAATGATGTGCAATATCTTAAGGTTTTAGTCTATGTATATTGTTATGATTTTCTATTCAGCTTCTAAACTATAGAATATATATATTTAAAAAACCGATTTTAGCACAGAATTTTTGTAGTTAATAAAAGTGACCCTAAATTCCATTCTATTATAAAACACGTTTTTTCAATTTAGTTGGATTTTATTGAATCTTTCTTTTAAATAACTATGCTTTTTAAACTATAATGGTATAGTTATTTGGATCTCTTACCTACATTATATTTATTCACTGATAGTTATTATTGAACAAACAATATCAATTTTTTAATTTATCATACGATTTTTTTGTTTTATTTTTTTTTTAGTGTATATAACACTGTGTGTTAGCATAGATTTTGGAATATTGTACATATCTGAATTTTTTAGCATTATCTAACTTCTAACTTATTAAATTTTCTCGTCAACCAACAATATAATGAATTTTTACTTGTTTAGGTTTTGCTTGTAACGATAAAATGATTGCAACGTTTTATAATATAACTGCTGTACATTATTGTTACGTAGCATAATTTATTAGATAAATTGAGCGTAGGAGAACGGAATAACATATACATAACTGTGATTTACGTACGTTTCCGAATTAACATTTCTTTCGTAATAGAACCCAAATGCTGAGTGAATTAATGTCGGTGATAATATACTACCCATGTCTACTATAATGTTATATGTACAGGTGCTTTTGGATGTTATATACGATAATACGATCTAATAGTTGAGGTGATATCTTAAATCCGACCGAATCCTAGTAACGCCCCGTCCGAGCACGTTATAATAATATATACGTTTGGATAACACGTATAATATTATACACCTGTTGTTAGACGTCGATAGGCCCGAGGGTAGTAAATTAATTACACCCCATCAAAAAATACATACGAACAGGTTTATACTGTATATAAAGAAGACTTCATCGTATATCATTGTGTGTTCAGTGTTATATTATTCTTCATTCACCGTGGGGCACTCGAATCTGTGTGTATTAATGCTCATTGTATATATGTGTGTATGTAACGATCCTGTTGGTTGGGGTCGCGTTATAACTTACCTATATAATACATGTTATGAGGGTGAACTCGTACCGCGTGATTTATAATAATCGATCGTTTTTGAGGATAATATGCGCGATATTTCACGCGTGGTAAGGACAAATTTCTTGGAATTCGTCCTAATCGTATGCGTAATGTACTCGGTATGCCTATACTGTTCGACGAATACACGATACCTAACCGATATGTTCATGATTTCTTTGGCACCAAGTCAACGTCGCGAACATTGTATATAATATTTCTAATATATAATAATATAATGACGTGTACTCACAATATACTTAACCACATAGGTTAGGTACGTACTTACAGCGTATAATCGAAATGGATGATATCGCCACTTTCAATGTACATATTTACTTATACAGCTACCTGCAGCAACGTACTGTTGAAAATCGTCTACATAAACATTGTTCATTTTTTTAAATAAGTACATAGAACATGCATTCCAGCTCATAGCGGCCTTCTAGTTTGCCCCCCCCTCCCGTAACTACTTGAAACAATAAATTGATGCTATATAATAAATAATCCGTGTATTTCACGAGACAAAACTAATTTACGCCTGCGGCGGACAGCTTTGTTCCATCCATAGTATCCATATTTTATTATGTAGTTTCCATTATTCGATGACAAATAATTTTTAACTACCTATGTAAATTGTTGTCTTAGATAATTTGTGCATTGTTTTGTGGATTAAAATAAAATAATGAACAGTAATAAATGATACCTATGTACAATTATTATAGGTAATCGCGATGATAAATTATTACAGTTCACAAAATGAATTCGTACGAATTTATCACGTGTTTTTCAAATCATACATTATTTGCTATTTAACACGGCTGCATCTGAGTTCCGTCCCGAGAACCTTTTTTTATACCAATTCCGTCCCGGTTAAAAAAATGACACATACCAATTCCGTCCCGGTTAAAAAAAAGACACATACCAATTCCGTCCCGGTTAAAAAAAAAAGAAGAATTAAAATAATAATAAAATATAATATGTATAATATTGTTGTTATAAAATATTTACAAAAAAATATAGGTATTCATAATATTAGAGTACATCTTCATAATTTAATTATAATTAATCGTAATAATATAAATAATAAAAATCAATAAATATTAAACAGTTAGTTAGTCAAACAGGCATATTGTAATATAAAAATAAATATACTATTTTTAAATAGTCAAAATAAAAATATAATACATTTTTAAAAATTTGAAATTGGATTGAATTTAAAGGATATTTCTTTTACAAATTCCAATCGTGATATTTGACCTGAACTATATTTATACATTTTTTCTTTAATAAAATCTTCTTTAGCTAATATAGGGTTCCTTCGTTTTATGGTACTTCTTAATTTGATATAGGAATCTTGTTGTATATATTTTAAAGCTTCTATAAATTGATAAATATTTGGGTGGGCATGATAAAACATTCCATTGAATTTAGAATGAAATGATTCACAGTTATTTGTGGTACGGAAAGTACTATGCGAAAATTCAGCCCAGATACGAGGTGGAAAAGTAGATTCAGGTGAAATATAATTATCGACCAAGTAATCTAGAAATAAGTCTATTTTTCTATCAACTGGTTTGATTCCCATCATTTCGGACGCAAAAAAATCACCTACTTCATCTGGTGTTAAAAATGGCAATCCAAATATATACTTTAAAAATCTACCAATCTCAGAATTTTTATTCCTATAAAAAGTGGACAATTTTAGATCTTGAATTTTACGCAACCATGATTGACCTAAGTGAAATCGACATCCTCTTAAGTCTATTTCTGGCCAAACTGCATATACGGCATTATGTATAGCCTTTTCAAAATCTGCATAAATAGTTTTTGGTGTAAATTTTAACTGGAGATTATCAAATTCTGTTCTTAAAAATTTAAAAGCATGTTCATACGTGTTTTTAGTTTTGTCTGGCAGTAAAAAAAATACTAATGGAATATAATTATTTGAATCTTTTAATCCATGAATAGTAAAAAATTGTGTGAATTGTTTTGGGCAACATTTAAAGGTTCCATCAACATAAATAGTACTAATTTTACTTAAATGAGATAAGTTTGTATTGCAAGTAAACATAATAATGTGTGTAATTGGATCATTTATAATTAAAAAATTTTCGTCATTATTTGTATATATCGTCGTTTTTTTCAATAATTCATGAACGTCTTCAATGGATGTGGGTAACATTGATAATATGGAAGACCTTGCACGGTGAATATTTTTTCTAATTAAGTCTATATCATTAGAGGTAATTGTATTAACATCATGATTAGAAAGTTCTTTATGAATAAGTTTTGCTGGTTTTTCACAAATATCATCAACAGCTTTTCTTTTTAATTTATTATTAAGCTTTTGACGATTTAAATTAGTTTCATCAGTTCTATCATGGCTGTGATTTAAATTTTCAAAGACAATTCCTTTATTTTTTCCTAATGTAAAAAATTATTTTAAGTACCTATATGCCTTATTATAAAAACTTAATTATTATAAATTTAGTTATCTTACCAATTTTTATATATGCTTTACATTGTTTTTGAATACACTTCCAGCGTTCAATATTATTATTCAATTCTTTATGAAAACAAAATTTAAATTCATTTTTAATAATTAACATTTTACCTTTTTCACTGTACATAGTATCCATATTTAATAGTTATATTAAATGACACGTAAACGCACAAATAACGACTGAAAAGTTTATTTTGTTTCGTTAACTAAAATCTTATTATATATTATCTTTATTTCTATGTGATATGATATTGTTAAATTCAATTATTTAGTGCGATAACTGAAAATAATATTATCTTTATTTCTATATAATAGGATATTGTTAAATTCGATTATTTGGTGCAATAACTGAAATAAATATCATCTTTATTTCTAAAAGACTTGATGCAAGACAGAATTAGTATATTATCCATTAAGAAAAACCTGGGACGGAATTAGTATGTTCATTAAAAAAAGCTGGGACGGAACTAGTATACCTTTAATTTCAATTTTTATATATGGGACGGAACTCGGATGCAGCCTTTAACACAATACGTTGTTATGTTAACGTTGTAGTTAAAGAAACATAGGTTTTCGTTACTTTTGAATTTGATTAAAACGTGGAAAATGTTCCGAAAATACATATTGGTTAGTTAATATTGATGTTTCTTGACAAAAAAAAAGAGATTTGGTCTGTTTTTTTTTTCTTGATTTTACCTGCGTACAAGACCGTCTCGCCTTTTCATCGTGTCACCATCGTCAGTGTTGTATTGTTATAATAGTGTGCTTACCTTCGCCGTTATTGTGATTAGTGGTCCGTATAACAACTATAACATAAAATGTATTATAACAATGTAAACACGGTCGTCGGTATTTTATGTATCAGATAATTTAAATCTCACAGTAGTTTTTTCGTCATATTGATACTCGGTGATATAGGTATTTACTTTTTGCGATTTAGGATATATTATGTATTATATTGTAATCTTAAACAGTAATATTAATAAATATATCAAACCACTGCGATAGCATCTACTATCTTTATTCTATAACTATTAATGTTATAGAATTGCTCACAAAATATGTCGTTAACAATTATGTTTATGAATACACAGCATATATTCGACATTGTGATCGTCCAGTGTTCAGTGAAAGAAGCAACTAGTCGACGGTTTACGATGGGGGATAATGGACCAGTTTTGTTTTTACTCGTGCACAACC